GTACTACAACTTGTTTAAGTAGAAATGAAAATTCATATAATAGCACAATCGGAAAGCCAGTTGTATGTTAGGGTATTACCCCTAATCTGATAGAGAAAGAACAAACAGAAAAGAAACCTCCTAACAATCTTATTCCAAAAGTGAAAACCCAATGTTTATTACATCACCTATTTATATGACACGTCAATTGACAGCTGTTAGCTATTCTAATCAACTACCTCTAATACGAAAATATTTAATATGTTCGAAGACCACTTAATGATTTAGTATTTTCTCTTACAATATTAATTTTTTCTTTCTTATTTTACCTCTAGTATTTTTCTTTTTTATCAATTTTACCCTTCCATTTACATTAAGGGACCACTTAAAAAATGATGGTCCTGGACCAGAATAAATTCTCTCCTCTAATAGAATAACTAACTACCGCTTATAGTTCTCTATTACAATTATATCACAAGTCTCCTAAGCTATAAAGTCCTCCAAGCGAATAGAACTCCTTCGACTCTGTCTGTGACTTCCGTGTTGTAACATTGTACCTAAGAGCAATGGGACTGAAATATCTTTTGTTCGATTCTTAAATGAAGTAATTTGAAGCCGTGACAGAAACTTCGCACCTTATGCTATTAAGGAGATTAATCCATCCAAACGGGTAGGACACCCTTAGAAAATTCAAAAAATAAAAATAAAAATATATTAAAACCATCAATGTAAATCAACACACACCGATTATTTTAACATAATTAACGGTCTCCAATTCAAATGGTGAATATGCAACTGTCTTACAAATTTAATAGGAAGAATTTTGCAAAAATGGATAGGTACAGAAGTGTTAACGGATCGAGCCGAAAAAATTAAGTTTGTTTAAATATGTCAATCTGACCAAGCCTATTACCTGTTATGAATATAATTATTGGTACGTGGCCTACTTATTTACAAAAAAATAAAAGTCTGATTTAGCCTGATAAGCTATATAAAAAAAATAAGACAATAAAAATTTATCGAAACAGAATATACAATCAACAACACTACTAATTTCATAAATATTCATAAATTCAATGTATATCCAAACACCATAATATGGAACAAAATCATTCAAAAAGTTTGTTTATCTAATAAAATGGGTGAAATTATAATTGAGGAGAGAGATGGTTATTTCAAGTAGTATAAAAAATATAAAATAAAAATTAATATACTAAGTCAGCCTGAGAGGTTATAAAGCCGAGTTTTTGAATTGAAGCATAATGTCTTTTTATTAAACGAGCTTTTATACAAGCTCAAGCCTTGTTCCAACAACCAATTCTAAATATGTAAGCTCATAATTGTAATAGTGCTGGTACATCGTGGACTAACGTAAGTTAATATCTCACAATTGCAATGTAACATGATGCAACGTCCCTTTAAATTTTATTTTCAGCAGTCCTAGTCAACAAATTCATGATAGAATCAGATTGCGGTTAGCTTAACGTAGTGGAATCTTATTATCAAGGATTTGAAAAACTCAATTGTAGCTCCATACGCGTGAGAAGAAAAATCCATTAAGATATGAGAACAAATTTGTCCAACTACACGTTAACCTAGATCTAGGGAAGGTCTTGGTTGATTTTGAGAACAAATTTAACTTGATCGTGGAAATGGAAATCCAGTCATGTCCCGAATCAAGTAGCGCCAAAATGGATGGTGCTCATCTGGAATAAACTATAAACTACTCTTGCACTAAGATTCAGTGTATTTCACTAATGGAAGCATTACACATCATAGGAGAGAGAAAAAATTTGGCAGAGAAAAGAAAACTTTAACTGACATGTAATAATTTTATTGGTGGATGTACTGAATCTTTGGTGCAACAGTAGCACCAAAGATTTATTCGCTGTGCACATCACTCGCATTTCCTTATATCTTAGATTTCCACAGAAACATGATGGGATTCCATGGACCAACAATGCTTGTTTTCTTCTGAGAGTGGATAACATTTGATGACGACTCATGTCCTTTTCAACAACAATAAGATCATTTTATTTTTATTTTTTACTTGAATCCACTATAAGATACTTTACTAATTAAATGAAGGGGATTATATTTCTCGTATTGTAGGAACCAAATTATTTGTTACCTTAAAAAAAAGGCAAGGTATATAATATTAAAAAAATGAGAGGACACTTTATTCAATAAATTAATTTTGCATTTTTCTTTAACATAACCAAAAATTTGGTTCGTACAATATCATAGATATAATTCCCTTAAATCAAATGACTCCTTCAATTATTACCACAAGTTTCTAGGCTAAGTTAATATAGCCTTAATACAAATTTTTCACAGCGGCTTTTGGTTCTGAAATTCCTCCAACCCAAGTTCATAACTTCCTATTCCTTGCAAAACAGGAAATAAAATTCACTATGCAGATGCACCAACAGATTTCTGGTACTTACTGAAATATTTGGCTATTCAATCTTTAAAGCCACGACAAGACAAACAAACAACGATTTTTTCGAACTATTCCACAAATTCAGACAGTGAAGAAGTGAAGCAGGTGCACGTAAAATCATCATATATGATGCCGGCATTTCAAAAATAATAATGCAAGTAGCATGCTGCTGGGTTTTAAATTATATATGACATTGTAAAATATTTAATCCAAAAGCTTAAACTACCGAATGATATTATATTAATAATTTATATTTTTTTTAATGTGTGCCCTCACGCGATGGTCCATTAACCTTGAAGCATGAATTGTGCATCACGCTCAACTTCAACAATATTTAATTATTTTTATTTATAAAATTGGGTGATAAAAGTTGAATCCATCGCTACTGTTGGTTTTGATATTATGTAAAATATAAATTCTATCCAAAAATTTAAATTATTGAGTGAAACATTATTAATAATTTTATATTTCTTTTAATGAGTTCGTTTTTTCTGCAGTTACTGCAGATAAGTTATCTGCAATAAGCCAATACAACGTCGTTTTGGGACAGAAATCATGGTATTTTTGTAATTTTAATTTATTTTAAGTTATAATAGTTTTTATATTTATAATTTTTTAAGATTTCAATACCAAAACGACGTCGTTTTGAGAATAAATGCAGATAACTTCTCTGTATTAATTGCAGAAACATTTTTCCCTTCTTTAATAAATATTGTCAAATCCCGACAACTGCCGCTAGAATTTAAAATCCTAATAGCAGGTAAACTTGGGCTCATATAATGCACATGTCGGGTGGGCCATTGATGTTGAGATAAATAAATAAATAAATAAAGATAAGTAAACGGGATAAAGGAAAATGGGCAGAGGAAATGAGTTAGGCAAAGTTATGTGAAAAAAAAAAAGGACCAGCAACATTACTCAGATTAATCTATCAGACATCAAATCCATCCATATATAAATCTAATTTAAATATTAATAGACCAGATACTTTGAACGAGTTTTAGTTCATGAATGATTAATTCATCAATCAAAACATTTAAGAGATATTTGGAGAAATGCAAAATTGGGCAGAGACATTTTCGAACAAAGAAGTATCTATGTTAAAAGATTACAATTTATTTGTACCAAAAAGAATCTAGACACCAAGGGCATGTTCGAATTCCGTTTCGAAATATAATTTTTTAATTTAAAAAAAAAAAAATCAATTTGATAAGGTCTATTTTGTTAAAAAAAATTGTAACTATTTTATTGTTTCCAGAATTAAATTTAAAGAACATATTTAAGTTGTTTTGTTGACTTTTAACTTTTAAAACAATATATATATATAGAGAGAGAGGCAGGATCCTTTGACACCGGTGTCAAATTTTAAGTTTGACACCTCATCTGAGAGCCGTTAGATCAAAAAAGATCAACGACTCTGATTTATAAGCATGTGACACCGTTGATCTTTTTTGATCTAACGGCTCTCAGATGAGGTGTCAAACTTAAAATTTGACACCAGTGTCAAATGATCCTACCTCTATATATATATATATATATATATATATATATATATATATATATATATATATATATGAGGTAGGATCCTTTGACATCAGTGTTAAATTTGAAATTTGATACCTCATCTGAGAGCCATTAGATCAAAAAAAATCAATGGTGTCACATGCCTACAAATCAGAATCGTTGATCTTTTTTGATCTAACGGCTATCCAATGAGGTGTCAAATTTCAAATTTGAAACTGGTATCAAAAGATCCTACCTATATATATATATATATATATATATATATATATATATATATATATATATATATAAGTTCCCATGGTGCTTGAAAGGAAATGAAACGTTTCATTTACCTGTGTTGAGAGAGGAAGCTTTGCGCAAAAGACAAGGAGGGGACGCTAGTGGAACGAGAAACAAAAAAAAGCAGGGGGAGAGGTGGAGGAGGGTGGGAACCTAATCCAAAACCCACATCTTGGTTTAAGTTTAAAGAAACTCTTGATATGAATTCGTGAGCTTATTTAAATGTGAACTTAGTTAAACATGAGTATTTTTTATCAAACAATGATTCCAAAATAAGTAAGCTGGAATGTTGGATATACATTCGTCCTATCCATTAAAGTGAATTAATGAATGGATTGGATATCCATCCAATAAAATGAATCAGAGATAGGTAAGATAGTTTAAACAATTTTTAATAGATTGTTAATAGATTAATAATTTATTTTATATATGTATGTATATATTATGATTCAATGCAAAATTCATCCAATGCATTCACTTGTCATCCTTAAATAAAATGGTCTAAATCTTGCTGTGAATAAAGATTCCCCCCTTAGTTGAAATGGAAGCTACTTCAAATCTTGAACTACTTACTACTGTATCTTATGAATTGCTTAACCAAAGTGTTGATCAGGTATAATGCGAAGCTAATAAGGAGGCTCATACAGTAATTGCGTGAAACTACGCAAGTGGATTCACAAACTCAAGCAAATTAATACACGAAAATAAATGATTAAGAATTATAAGAACCACTGAACTGGAAAATACAGAACAGGCACACACAAAAGTATTCATCTTTCGATATAACAGGCAAACACATCATATTGACACAATCTGCAGCAATATGTGGTCTGTGTTGTTCATGTGACATTGGATCTAGCTTCTACTAAACACTGTAAGCTACAGAGAGAAGATGAATGAAATAAATACAAAATACGAAAGGAGAGATTATAATAGGGGAAGTATTTGAAAAGACAAACAACTTATTTTGCACCTATAGATTCTAATTTATTTACAGAGATTGAACCTTGCCTTCCTTAACAGCTTTCTTCAGCACCAGATTTCCAGCTTAAACATATGAATGACAAGAGTCCATTTACACACCTCATACACCGCTCTACAAATTCTGAGAATCAACTTAGCATTGTTGGATGCCCAGTTTGGAGCATCCTCTTGATCATGTCCATCCCAAATGCAGAATCTGATGAACTGGTCAATGACAGTACAGAGTTAACTCGGCAGCTTCAGCAAAATTTTCAAAAGAGAACTACAAATAACCGCAACTCATCATGCAAGATCAGGGTAGCAATCTCCACGCAATACAGATATTCTCAAAATCTAGGCTTTATGAGACAATTGCAATTTATACATACCAACTGGTGCCAAATGATAAAAATTAGAAGAATTGGATAAATGTACTCCCAAATTTTGAAGTCACGTTACGATGATAACTTTCTCTTTTCTAAGAGTTTTTTATTGTGTCACAGATCACTAAACGGGACAGAGATCACCAGGCCATTATTGGCAGTTTGGCACTACAGCCAAGGAAGTGCCACCAAACAGGGAAGATATCATAAAATTGTTCTGCGGAGGCCCTAATGAGCATCTGACTTGTTGATTTAGTGAATGCTTTTGCAGTGGCTCTACATTCAAGAACTATAATTAAATATGTGGCAGCAGAATAGTAGAGGGTGAAGGTTATGAACACTACGGTTGCCAATGCCTAGCCTGCATTGAAGGATGGGACCTCCCTAATGAATACAGAAAATAAAATATCAAAGAGCTAAAGGACTTAAAAGAAGAGAGGGTTGGGGAGCCATTGTGATGAATAAATAAGCATTCTGCTAAAAGGAGCTAAAATCCATAAAATCATGCTCATCTTCCAGATTATCATGTACCTCAAGACCTAACAATAAGAGAATTCATAAATTTCTATTTCCTACAGCTATAGTTCACTATACCACTCAGTTTATCCCAATCTGCATCTTTATTTCCTCAACGACAAAAACTTGTATGGGGTTATATCTATAGTCCACAAAAATCTACTAATCAAATCACAGTGCTCCAGAGAGCACATGATGCAAGTATTAGACTGGCATTTGTTCAATTGGTCATATGTCCTACCTTGTTAAATCTTTATTTACAAATGAATTCATATTAAAAGAATGAGGAAACAAGGAAAGAAAAAGGGATGGGGGCATTCTAATAACTGTATCATCCAAAAAGTCCACTTTCGAATTTTGGTACAATTAGTGGGTAACAAAATATCAACAATTAAGTATACAACACATGTCAGCACTATTTTTCTGACACTGATTTCAATTAATCGGGATTGTATCAACCACAAAATTATTTATGGTTTAAAATTTGTCATGTTCACCAGTGCTTCCTTCAAAATACAATTGATCACCAATTGCCATGCCACTGTCCATCAACTTCCTACGGTTGGAAGAGATTCAGAAAATGATGCAGAAGAGGCAGCTTGTTTAGTTGTTTACAATAAATTTACACTCTCTGAACAGTAAGCTATGCAATGTCTTTTAAATAATGTACGTCACTAAACAATATTCTGAAAACAGTTTTCATGAACATGTAAATTCTGTTCTCAGCCTGGTCTCTCTTCTACTGAACTGTACAGCAAAATGCATTGTGGTTCACATTAAATTAACAAAGCAGGAAAGACATTGTACTCGCATTACATTACTAAAACCAATAGAGAATGTCTCAAACTAAAATTCTTATAACACACTGTTACAGAACAAAGCAGTTCCTAATTTTGAATTACCTAGATAGATAGTTATACAAGTCAAATTTGATTTCCTTATTTTTCCTAAAAATTTTAAGTATATACTTATTTAAACCAAGGGAGATCTAGCTATCCAAGTTTTTCTGTCACCCCATGATTAGAAGCAAAAAAATAGAGCAAACCCCAGTACACAAGGCTCCTCAACTTGCGACAATAGGGGTGAGGGTCAATTGTACGCAGCTTTTCCTCATGTATTTTTGCAAAGAGATTGTTTCCCAGACTCGAATCCATAATCTCCCGGTTACAGGGAGCAATCTTACCGTTGCTCCCAGGCTCGCCCTTATAATAATAATAATACCACTCCCCATTAAACCCCAACTAGCAAGAGTAGGGTTGAGGACAATCCACGTTCGCAGTCTTACCCTTACATATTTGCAAAGAGACAATTTCCTGGATTCGAGCCTGTGACCATTTGATCACAAAGGAACAACTTTACCACTGCTCCAGACTCTCCCTTAGTTCCTTATAATAATAATAAATAAATAAATAAGAACAGCCAAGCCTTATCTCACTATTCGTTATCAGCTACATGGATCAATTGATATTGGTGTGATCTATTACAAACCTAATTTGCAAAAATAGAGCAAGGTCATTTAGAACAAAGTCTATTCAAATAGTTTTCCTTTTTTTATTTTTTCATTTTTTTTTGGAAAAAAAAGGAAAAGGTGGGGGGGGGGGGGGGGTAAGGGGGTTATTGGACTACTTACATGACCAAACCACCTTACGTATGTTTTTGTCATCTTTTACTCGATAAGTGCTACTCTAATTTCCTCTAATATACATTTGTTACTTAACTAATATTTTCAAGCCTTATCTCACTATTGGTTATCAGCTACATGGATCAATTGATATTGGTGTGATCTATTACAAACCTAATTTGCAAAAATAGAGCAAGGTCATTTAGAACAAAGTCTATTCAAATAGTTTTCCTTTTTTTATTTTTTCATTTTTTTTTTGGAAAAAAAAGGAAAAGGTGGGGGGGGGGGGGTAAGGGGTTTATTGGACTACTTACATGACCAAACCACCTTACGTATGTTTTTGTCATCTTTTACTCGATAAGTGCTACTCTAATTTCCCCTAATATACATTTGTTACTTAACTAATATTTTCTTGTAAGTCCACTAATCCACCTTTGCATTCTCAATTTCTCATATCCACTACATATTTTTCATAACCACCATAGAGCATCGCTGATCTTATAGTTGTCCTATAGAATTCTCCTTTCAGTTTCATAGGCAATGCATGACCACAACCATTTTATCCACCTAGCTTGAATCCTATGTCAGATCTTCCCAAAGATGGAACCAAGATACCTAAACTGTATAACTTGTGGTATGATGTTATCCTCAAATCTCACCTCTACAACATTGCTAACTTGCATCTTACTATACGTGGATTCCATTCCATGTAAATAAACATAATCTTACTTAACCAAAAACCCTTGGACTCCAAACGATCTAAAAAATTTCTAAAAAAAAAAAAGGAAAAAAAGCTCAAAAGACATCACATCATCAAATACAATCAGCCAAGCAGTGCACTCATTCGGAGTCAAAGCTATCAAAATATTAAGAAAATCAGTGAAATGCATCGTTGCAATGGATATGGTTAGACAAAGTAAACAAAGCTCACCTAGGTATTGTAATTTCATAGGGAAATGAAACAGCACCCTCAAGATTTGGTATTGGCGGAACATGATCCTTCTTCTCATTAACAAACTTAATTATTTGAAATAAGACCTCACGAAGAGATGCTTCAAGTGCTGCATTTCGAGCACTTCTATCCTCCAATGCTCCCTCTACTCATGAGAAAAGTGGAAAAAAGGGCAAAGAAACAAACAATTAAAAAATATGTAATTAGTTAGAGTGAAGATCTGAAGGAACTAACTGTACAGTAGGAGTGAAACATGAAAGAGATTCAGTTCGAAGAACAGAGCAAGCAACGGCACCTCCTGGATCAACAACTTTGGAATGATGAGACTTGCTAGAATGTGCCTTCGGGTGCTGGGCTACATTCAGATTAATATACCACTGCTCCCAATATAAGCGTTCAATCTTATTACTGAACCAAGATGCCTGTTTGTTTTTAACCTCGTAGAAAGATAAACATATCTGCATCATCAAATTCACAAGCCCATAAAAAAAATTCATTAGAATAAAACAAACTTCAATGCCCATAGGATCTCTCATCGCACATTAACTTTATAGTGTACCATGATTTGCAAAAGAGATTATATGATACATTACCTCAGATCGAAACGCATTGCAAGCAAAAGAAAATTTCATTTGACCACAAAATCAAAACCAATAACAGAAGTTTCACTCCTTTTATTGAAGTGGTTGGAAAGCTGGATTCCTTTGCCCATGAAAAATGGAATTTCCAGAACCAGGGATTTTGATAAAAAAAAAAAAAAATAGAGCATGCAGCAGTAAAGTTTTAAATTTTAACACTACAGAACCTTGAAACTAAAAGCAACAGCTGGCCAAATTCCCCCTATTAGCAGCATTCACAGAGTAGTTACATGGAACAAGTAACTAACAATAAAATCCACAAACCTGACTCTTTTTGTTCGGATGCTTCTCCACCCAACAAATAAACTGCTCAATCTTCTCATCTATTTTCTTTTCAAGCTCCACTTCTCCACATTGCACCTACACAGCAAAAGTGGCAAAACCCAGCACAGTTAAATCGTAATGTACTATTCACCAAAACGCATGTAAATACATATTGGATATAAAACAATCATAATTAGATATTGTTTTTATAATAAGAATAACGCATTCGTGATAAACTGATAATAGCAACTAATTGAGTTTAAAAACGTACATAAGTGACGTCAAAAAGTTCCAAGTCGACATCTTTTGGACGCACAAGACCCAAAGCCCGATGAAACACGATCGTGTGCAGTATGCCTGCACCGTTACTCCCAGTTATGTTATGACTTATCTCAATTCAACACGAAAGCCCAAAATAATAACAATAATTATAATAAAAAAAATTATTTCGAGCAGAAAAAGAGAGAGTAGTTTACATCGCAAAATCTCGCGTATCTCAAAGTGTTCCACTTCCTGCATCAAACGATGGATAAGTCTTGATCAAGAGGAAGGAGTGGCATGAATAATCATAATACAGAGAGAGAGAGAGAGAGAGAGATTTACCAGTTCCTTGAGCTGGCAAACTTCACAGTTCATAATTGGATAAAACCCTAGCTTGTTCTGGAATCGCGTGGATCGAAGAAAACGGGGAAGAGCGTGGAGTGTTTCCGATTCAACTTGTATAACTTAATTTTCAACTTAGTTTCAATTGCTTCTTCGTCTTCAGAATCGGGAGAAGTGGTTTTCTTTTTTTTTTATGAGTTATTAATTAATGAATATAAATTTAAATAAAGTTTTAAAATATAATAAAACTTCATGCCGATTAAAATGTGAATTTTGGCTCAACTCTTGCAATCCTCGGCCCAATAACATAGAGTGCTTACAATAGATCGACCCAGCCCAATTTCCTTAATTCAATTCGGTTAGGCCCAATAAATCCAGCTTGAACAAATGACCTGATGCGACAAACTTGGGGCGATGTAATAAAATTGACGAATGTTAATTGTTAAATTTCATTATTTTGTTAGTTCTTCAAATATAATAGGGATGTTCGCAGCCTAGATTTGATCGGTTTTGAAGCAAAAATTATCTGATTCAATTCCTTTGATTTGATCATTTAATCATCCATTCGGTTTTTATTTTTGTTTTTAAAATTCAATCCAATTTTATTCAGCTTGAATTGTATTAGTTTTTGATTTTTCAAAAAATCCTAAAATTTCAGTAATATAAATCACTAACTATATAAAAAAAAAGTCATTCAAAGTTACAAATTACTAGAAAATTCAAGTCTTCAAACTAAACAAGTTTTAAAACTCTTGAAGAGTTAAAATAGATTAATAACAATAAAAAAACTAAAACATGATAGTTCACTATTAATAACATTCAAGATTCCAAGTCTACAAAATAATAAGAGTTCAAGTTGCCATTTTTTGAAAATAATAAATATATAATATGTGATTAATCTAATTAAAATATGCGATTTTTTTTTATTTTTGATTTTTTTGTTATCGAATTTTCGATTATATCATCACGGTTTGAATCGATTTGGATAGGTTGATAAACATCCCGAAAATTTAATATAAAATAATATAGGTGTTATCAAATAACAACTTAAACTTTTGAGATAGTTGGTTCACTACAACAAATTCGGGAAACGAGGGCGGTTTTTATTTGGTTTGACGGCTGTTTAAACCGCCAATGCAAATTTCAATGGCATTTCAAAACCGACTGCGATATTGGTGACATTGAATCGTTTTATGAGATTTGACGTCGATTATATAAAATTGACGGAATAACCGACTCTAAATATGATTAAAAAAATTAAAATACTATGGCAGTTTTTAACCGCCGTAGTTTCTTTTGAAAATTTTAAAAAAAAATCATTTAAAATTTTACGTTTCTTTTAAAAAACCAGGTAGATTCAAAAGGATAAAAAAAATCATTCCAAATATTTGAAACATATCTAAAAAGAACTTGGTTTCCAAAGATAAAAAAATCAAAGAGATGTATAAATGAAATTAAAAACTACGAGTTATTAAAAATTGATAACTATTCATGCAGGCCAAAATTTGCAAGTTCTACAAGAAATAATCACATTTAGATAAAATTAAGTTACAGAACTACGTGAGAAATAAATCTCACTTAAAATGTAACCCAATAGAAATGTCCCAGGTCTGCAAACATTGCCTCTTATCCTGCGTAACATAGAGCATCTTATGACACCAACCAAAACAATTTTAACAAGAAAAGAAATTGATAGCTATGAAAGTTTAAATAAGAGGAGTTTATAATTTTAAAAGGATAAAAATTTTAACATTTCCCTTGCCTGCAATATTTGACTCTGTAGCTCTCCACTTGATAGGTGCACCAATACAAGGGGAGTTTCTTCAAGTTAAAATAACAAAGAAAATGATCTAACAGCTATGAAAGTTTCATGTTATTATTCTCTCTCGATTCTCACACATACATCAATGTTAATTATCTCTAAAAAGCTATGAAAGTTTCTCTCAATGCAGATACCACATTATTGAATTGAAGTGTGTTTGGATAAATATCTATCATATGCTTCATATCTTGGTATGCATGTTGATTGCTGAAAGTAGAGCTGGATTTCAATTTCTACTTAGCTGCATCCATTACTGTGATTAAGACAGGGCACGAGGAACAGGGTGTGGAATTAGAATCACCTTCATCACCAGCAACAACATCAATCTTTCTTCTTGGGTTATTTCTATGGTCATTTTAGGTGGTGGAAGGAAGCGCAGGATTCAATGGCTGCGAGTTCGGATGTGAAGAAAGAGGTTTTGCATATAGCTTTGCCTAGTTCGTCCTATGCGGGCCCTATGAAGATCATCAAGAAGCGCTTGAAAATATTCGAAAATATGGTGGAGGTTATGGATTTAGATGGACAAAACATTGTGGTAAAGATAGATGATGGCTTGAACACTGGCTCAGAAGCGCTTAACGAGAACAAAGATATGGGGCTAATAGACGGCGAGACAAAGGGGATGAACAAGATAGCAGATGAAGGAAAGACGTAGGATTCTAAAGAGATAATGGTGGAGGCATAAGGAAAAGTGATATTGAAAGAAAAGAGAGTTCCAGAAGCCATTGATGACTTGTCTACTATGCGTGGAGAATTCAAGACGATACAAATAGAAAGCACATGCAATGAATTTCCCAAAAGATGATGATAAGGTGCTGCCCCGCTCAACCAATCAGGAGCAAGGTCATAGATTTTTACCCAATCAAAAGCTTTCCTTCCCAGCTTTTACAACGGATATTTTTTACCAATCTTCAAAAATTCACCAGGAAATACAAAATCACAGCTGTAGTGTCCACTTAACTACTCACTTGGGTCAATCATATCAGCTTTCATTAAGCCCAGAGAACTTCACTAAAACTTGAGGACAAGGTTCCTCTTAATGGGCTGGCAAATGTAGTAGATGGGGCTACAACTCAACCTAAGAGAATCACAACCTTGAGGAAAGCCCAAACAATGCAAAATAAAAAACAATATTAAAGTACGTACCCTTCATCTACGTTGCTTTAATAATTATTTATAACAACCTTAAATAATTATTGACAATAGCAGCATAAATTGCAACTTAAATATAACAAATATTGCAACATATGTCACAAACTTACCCAAAACGCTCGAGCATACTCTGCTCATTATTTATATGGTTTTTTGGAGCATTACCATAAGGACCTGTAAAATCACATGTATTTGTTGTAGCATCAATATCAACTTAATAAAAACCATTACACTATCCATTTGGTAAGTTAGTAATATTAAGTGAATTAACATGAAATTATACTAACCTAAAGTTGCGGACATTTTCAAAACATTGATAGGCAGGCAAAGGTTGGGAATCCCATGTAAGTGACTGTAACAACATCTGAACCATCACACTTTACCTATATTAATTTCTTATCCAACTGCTGCGTTCAACAATAGTTAAGATAAACATGCAATGATACATGATAAATTGTTCCTTGCTTGCAAGTTTATTTTAAGGTTGTCATATTTGAAGACCCTAACCAAAATTGAGTTTTTACAGATTCTACTTGAGCGAAGGTGACAAATTAAATTTGAGAACATACCATAAGGGTGCATACGGGGATGACAAGTCAAGGAAAGGATAAGGCCACCTGTAACAAAGGTTAGCAAATTATAGACAATAATAGAATTGTGTCCATTGAAATGCAATAATCAGAAGATAGGGTACATCTTTTTACCAAATTGAAGCACAGGCATGGATGATCCATTGGAAAATCACAAATATAGCCGAGTTTGATTCAGATTCTTCTCCCTTTTTAAGGGATGCAGTGACGTCTAGTTGACTGAAGCAAATTGCTTTCCTTAATTGGAAAAAACTTCATATAAAGGACTTGAGAAAGTTATTTACCAACGAGCTTATAGTAGGCGTATAAACCAGAGCCAGCAAAATCGAGAAATTAACCAGTTACATTCCACTGAAACCAAATCAAAACACATTATATAAATAGTAAAAATATACTCAATTTTTTTTTTAAGATTAAATATACTCAATTATTCTACCAATATATATACACACATATACTCTATCGGGAACACAAGCAAGGACAAGAGCACTCACAAAATCAAATGGTAGCCCACAAAAAATTATCCAGCCAAAGCCAATAGTAAACATATCTTAGACATCAATACAGAATAATTAGAATTCAACCATAAGACTATATATAACAATCATGACATCAATATGAACAAATAAAATCATATCATATAAAGCAAAAAAGAAGTGCACGTCGAACTCCATAGCATTATGTGGAAAAGGTACATTATTTATCCATTGAGCTACAAGTGATAAGTTTCCAAGACACTATGTTTTTATGGTTAAAAAGAGTTCAAATAATAATTAAAATAGTTAAAAATATAGTGTTAAAACAATAAAACAGTAAAACAACATGAATTGTCAACAAATAGAAGATTCTGAATATTTGTTGTTGTTTCAGGTTGTTGAAACTAGAATAACAAAATGCCAATATGATAAGGACGAGACAACAGTGGAATCCGCGGAGCAATAGAAAAATCAGAAATTAAATAATAAATAAAATAAAAATTGTAACGCTCGCTCCACTGCTCGCTAAAGCGAGCAAGTGGGCGAGCAGCTCGCAAAGTTCCTAGCTCGAGCGAGCAAATGGGCGAGCATCTCGCAAAAGTCCTCGCACGAGATAGTAAGGGAGCGACCAGTAACAAGTGCTCGCTTCAGCGAGCAGGTCCAAATTTCAGAAGCCCAAATTTCACCCTTTAAATACAACGCGAAGGAAGCCGTGAAAATAAAATTCTGGAATGCGAAAAAAAGAAAGCACTCAGAGACGAAGCGAAGGAAGGAGCGGAAGAGTAGCACTGGATCATGGAAGAGGAAAAGGAAGGAGTCAACTCTGCACCATTGATCATCACCATTAGAAAAGTTTTTTCATTAACTTCATTACTTTTACAGTAGCTCTAAATCCTGTTTTTATCACTATGCGTAGCTAATTTACTTTTAGTAGTTAGGAAGATACAAAACCAATGGGTTCTTAGTTGATGTTGTTTATTTCTTATGAATTATATTCTTGCTTCTAAATTATGCAATCAATCTGATATTTATGCTTAGTTTTATTTATGACTTGATCACTCGTAGATAAACATATGAGTCACATATGACAATAGGGATGTTGGTATGTGATTCGTCAACAAGTTTTTGGCACCGTTGCCGGGG